AAGGGCAGCATGCATCAATCTACCCACGCGGAAGGGATTGCAGCTTACAAAAAAGCGGGAGGCGTGCAAGTCTGTCGCAGCCAGCCGCCAAAGCTGGCCTCAGCGCCGTCGCATTCGGTAAAATAATTACGCTAGCCGTCTGAAATCTCTTGCCGAGAGGTTTCCTCGCACCTCGTAGCGCTGAGGTGCGATATCAGCCTCAGGGGCAGCGCGATATAATCGTTATCTATATCATTTCAAACAGCAAAAATTCTATAATTATTGAAAAAAATAGACAAATTATAGAGTAGAGTTTTCCTAAAAGAAAACGATTATGCAATTTGATTAAAATCTTCAAGATGCAAATTAAAGTTTAGTTGTCGAAGTTTTTTCCTGGGATTAAAAATCGGAGAAGAACGTACGAGACAAGACGAAAAATAGTCTGTTAAAATGCAGTTCAAGACTTAGTGGTGTTAAGCGAGCTGAATAAGCCAAGGTAGGCAAAAAATGAGTCAAAGTAGATCAAAAACTGAGTAGATTACTGTTAAAAAGTGGAAATATGTAACGTTTGCTGATATAAAAGAGATCAACGTAATGGTCAAGAACATTTTAGGTTGTAAAGAAAGTTCCGGAGCAGTTTTGTAAATTTTATTTTCAGAATCATTTTTCCGCATTCGGTCGTTTACAATATATATTTTGCAATGTTTCCTTTTTTGGTGTATATATTAGATAGATTAGATTTTTTTGGTGTATAGTTCAGCGCTGCCCCTAAGAAGATTGACGATTGGGCATCGATGAAAGTTCGAAACGCTAATAGAAAGCTTAAGCTGTCTATTACAAAACATTGCAAAAAATATCTTCTTATATATAAAGCTGAATGTCTGTTTGTATGTATGTCTGTCTGTCTGTATGTCTGTCTGTACGTATGTTCCGAATAGAAAATTCCATTTCTGAACCGATCCGGACCAAACTTGGCACACATACACTACGGGCCCCGGCGGGTGTCATAGGCTACTTTTCGTCATCGATCGATATCGATTTTATCGATTTTTATCGATTTTTTTGCTGAGTTCACCTACGGGGCTGGGAGTTGGCACAGGGGGGTAATCGAGCATGGGGATTCCGAATACAATATTGGTTTTCAAAATTATTGATTACTTTTATCGATTTTATCGATTTTTTTTTGCAAAGTTTGAGCTACGGGGCTGGGAGTTGGCACAGGGGGGTAATCGAGCATGGGGATTCCGAATACAATATTGGTTTTCAGGATTATCGATTTTATCGATTTTTTGCAAAGTTTGAGCTACGGGGCTGGGAGTTCGCACAGGGGGGTAATCGAGCATGGGGATTCCGTCCCTGTGCCAAATTCCAGCCCCCTAGCTCAAATTTGCAAAAAATCGATAAAATCGATAAAAGTAATGGACGATCTTGAAAACTAATATTGTATTCGTAATCTGCATGCTCGATTACCCCCCTGTGCAAAATCCCAGCCTCGCATGTCAAAATTTACAAAAAATCGATAAAATCAATAAAAGTAATCGATAATTCTGAAAACTAACATTGTATTCGGAATCCCCATGCTCACTTCCCCCCCCCCTGTGCCAACTCCTAGCCCTGTAGGTGAACTCTGCAAAAAAATCGATAAAAATCGGTAAAATCGACATCGATCGATAACGAAAAGTGGACTGTGACACCCGCCGGGGCCCGAAGTGTATGTGTGCCAAGTTTGGTCCGGATACGGCGGAGCCGGGTAAGCCAGCTAGTATTGTAATAATTTGACCGAATGCGGAAAAATGATTCTGAAAATGATTCTGAAAAATGACTTTTCGTCATCGACGTTCTCCGTTTCTGATTCCCAAGAACTATCTTGTTAATTGAACACTTTTTTGCATCATAAATTATTTCAACTTCTGGTTATTTTAAGGAATTGAATTTCGTAACGTTTTTCCTTTGGGAGAATTCTACTCTGTAATTTGTTCATTTGCTTTTTATCAGTGCAATAAAGAATTTCCGCTGTTTGAAATGAGATAAATATCGATCCTCAGCGCGACAAGGTGCGAGGAAACCTCTCGGCAGGAGATTTCAAACGGCTAGCTGAGTATTTTACCATATGAGACGGCGCTGACGCCAGCTCTGGCGGCTGGCTGCGGCAGCAATCGGCTGCCTGGGTACCACTTGCTACGCACTCGAAAAAAGCTTCATATCCTGAAGCTCCAGTCATACGAATCACGCTGTCTAACCAATTCATAAGTAATCCTAACATTCTCTATATACGTTAAACAGGAGCGAGAAGTTGCCGTCACATTTTTCAGCTTTTTGCATGGTTCTATGATCTCCGGCAGCCAACCTTTTCTTTGAAGCCATCTTTCTTTCCTCAAACTTAGTGAAAACATTTCAAAGCTCTACTAATTATCTAGCCTAACGGTGCTAAACATTTTCTGATATAAACGAATGACTCATCGAAAATATGAGGTTATCAATATAAAACCCACATTTCAGTTCATCAAAATTTTCATTACTTTACGTCAGCTGTTCTTATCAAAAACTTGCTTAGCATTGTTGAGTTGATGCACCTGTGAAATGCTTCCGTAACTTCAAAGAGAAAATTACTTGTAAAAGAAGATTGGCCGCTGAAGATCAACGAGGGATTATACAAAAAACTGGAAATGCGGGCTGAAAAGCTTCTCGCTCCTGTTATATGTCTTTAGTGAAGGGTAGTAGAATTACTTATGCATGATTAGACAGCGTGAAATCCGAACATGGGGCTACAGGATATGAAGCCTTCTTTTAAGCGCAATCCCTTCATCGCGGGGATGTTAATGTGTGAACAGCTCTAAGCCTCCGTAATTATAACAAAAAATGTGTATTCTGATACCAGCGCGTTACCTCTACTCTGCAGAGACTCACATTGGTTCTACTACTGTGTGTCCTCGTACTATAATAAAAAATTCAAAACTCAAAACGTATTGCCGGCCATCACGACATAAACAATTACTCATTCAAAAAACTTTTCCATGTAAAATCGGTCAACTTTGGGAGGGAGAGTGTCAGCTACAAAATTTGTCACGGCTTCATAGGCGCTATGAAGGCAGTCCACTGGTATTATGCAGTCGGTTTCATCTCGTATTAGGTGGAACATTGGAGAAAGCGGCGCATGCGCTTCGCTCGAGGCTTCGCGAGCGCATAGCGCTAGCATTGTGCCAAGCGAAGACTGCGGAGAATAAAGAGAACTGGGTTCTCCAACGATATGATACACTGTAGCGCGAGCCGTTGCGAGGCGGGCGTCTGCCAATCCAGTTTCCGCACTTTATCGAAGCTTACTGTATCTCAGAGCGAAAACATTCTCATCAGGAAACGAGCTAATTCAAAGTGACAAACGCATGAATTGCATATCACTAGATACATCTTGATGAGGGATCTTGATTAGTCCACTACCTTCTGTATTTGCGATGCGGTTTTCTGGAAAAAAGGTGAATGCAACAGTACACTCAATATCATGCTAGTCATGCACCCCCACGCTGATTCAAGACATTATACATTTGAACCCCAGTGAGTTCATGCTTCCAATCGCTTATAACCTCTTCCGAAGGATCTAATCGCAGATATGAAAGGGGGATTTTCAATCAGCTCATCAAGACGCACCTTATGATATGCAGTTCATCTAGTTCGCCACCACAAGTGGGATTGTTCCGTTGTCAGTCTCTTAGTAGAAGCTCGAGAAATCGGAGATTTACGTGGAGTCTTTTTGGCGCCATTTTCGCGAAAGATATATTTTTCGGTTGCTTTTTTGAGTTGTAGTCGATGATACAGGGTCTCACAAAAAGATGTGCACACTGTTTTATCTTTGATATCTCTTTGTGAACCCTTGGTTATCATTCTGTGAAGCTTTCTTCAGCTTAGATTTACACTGTGGAGCGAATTGCCGATCTTTATTCGTTACTGTAACCAGAGTCTGATCTCATATATTAAAAATTTGCACCAAATTATGCTTCCTTCGCAATTTATATCAAGAAAACCGTAATAACTGCTCATCCAGTGCTTTCAAAAATGTGATTACAGTCTAAAACAGCTCAGACATCTTGTGAAGATTCGGGTTGTGAAATCAGCATGCTTGAAAACCCTGATACACAATCTTCTATATTTTTTGGAATTTTTTCATCGAAAGGTTCAGTTCACTATGGTGCAGTATGCTGAAAGTTCTTACCGTAATCCTACAGAAACGAAGAAGGATCAGGAATTCGCTCTGTACTGTAGATCCAGTCGTAAGTTAAGCCATCTTTATGAATGGTACCGACTTCGAAGAAAGCGAGTTATAAGAATTCAAACAGTGTGCACCTTTTTTGGGACGCCCTATATACACGTCAAACACATTAATGACTCTGCAGAAAATGCGAATAGGATCCAGTGCTACTCAAAGCTGCGGGTCCGTATGACGCGCAGCTTTTATAAGATCCACGCATTCTCAAACATTCGCAGTTAAGTCCCGCCGGAGATCCGCCCACAAAATGAGAATTCGCGAGAAAAGCGGGAGTCTTCGCGCCTCCTGGTTTTGTCCCGATTTTCGGGACAATCCCGACAGTTAAAGTGGCGGGAGATTACCGGGAGTCGCGATCATCGATTTTGACGCTATTGCGCGTCAGTATCGATTCATTCCTATTTCCACACAGACTGTTTTTCCTCGCACACGACGAATTTTCTAGATTTCACATCTTTTTACTCTTTGACTGACTTGTATTATCCAAATTCAGGTTTATCGTGCCCTCCACAAGTGCTGCTACCCCCTCGGTATGCTCTCATACCAGCCATGTGTGGTAACATGTTGGCAACGCGGCAAAAACATGTTTGCAACATGCCACAACATGTTAACAGAACATTTTAGCCACGCCAACATGTTGTGACATGTTGCACCGCAGCAGCACCGCTTCCGCAGCAATTTTTCCATTTACGCTCTTGCCGTCGTCGGAGGTGGTTGTGTTCGCAACTTTTGATTAGATCCTCTAACGTTATTTTCAGCCGTCGTGATGCCGAGTATGCTATGGATCGAGTTGACGGACATTGGGTTGAAGGTCGTGAAAGTAGGTATTCTGAATTAATCATATGTAGACATGTACGGCGCTCTTGCATAATTCCAAGTTAAATATGAGCTTCTAGCTGCGATTAACGCGATAATGAGTCTTGCTTTACGTAAAAAAATACGCGCTCTGTACTGCACTTATTGATGTTTTTCAACTTGTAATAGACTGCACATGGCTGAAGTAAGCTAGAACATGCGTAGTAAATATGATACTCCTAGATTTCGCAACGGGTATAAACTGGAGTTACTTTGCTAGTGTCATGTCATTAGACGCAACATTAGCATGCTTGAACACCAGTCAGACTTCACTCAATAGCGCCCAGAAGCGCAAAAAAATTTTTTCTCTCTCCACACTTTTCATTTCTCTCACACGTTCCGCGCTAGCCTGAAAGCGCCAGCACGCTCTCTTGACACGCAAATGCTACCGCGGGACGATGTCAGGGGAGCGTATTGACGCTTTTAGGCTAGCGCCGAACGCATGAGATCAGAGGCGAAGAATGTGAACAAAGATCAAGCACTAAGCTCTTTTGGGCCCTTTTGAGCAAAACGAAGTCTGACGAGTGTCTTGGCTATTGGGCGGCGTGTCGTCATCCTCTCAAGGCTTGCCGCCTTTCCTAAATGCACGTAGGCGAGCGACCACCCATTGAGTTGATCGCAGAGCGTACGGTATACAGGTTCGGACATGTAATACCAACTACAGAGTTCCGTACTCGCTATGTGAAAACTGAGAGGGATTGAGCGCCCTATGTCAATCCATTACGAACTTGCTACAAATTACTAAAACCCGAAGAATGTGATGCTGAATCGAATAGCAAGATATAAGAGCTGGAAGGTTGGAAAGCTTCAAGCATCAAAAACACATTTCAAGTTACCTCCAGTTTCCAATAGTCATTCTTACATAATATCTTTGGGACCCACATCACTCAGATAAGTGATCCGCGAATTTTCAAAGTTCCTTTTGGCTGTTTGCTTGGTAAAAGAGTGGGTGTGCTTACAAGTAGACCTTGCCTAAATAAAACCTATCTGACAGTAGGTTTTTAGCAGGTAAGGTCTGCTTCCACATGTATACGTCTGAATTAAACTATGTGAAGGTAGGTTTTACGCAAGGTATTTCAACATGTAAAGCGCAAGTTCACTATGATTATCAACTAGGAGCTAGTCTATACGCCTCGTCTTCTCAAAATAACCCTAGACAGACGTCAAACTGTGGAAGATATTCCAAAGTTTGTCCTCTACATAGGTTATTCTTAGATGACGAAGCAGTGACGTGAATTACCTCACAATAGATCTGGGTTGTTTTGAGAATTACGATCTAGATAAATTATCTGACATTAGCGAGAAAAAGTAACTTGAGATATAGAAAGACCTAAAACATTTTACACAGCCCCTAAACGTATTCGAAATTGTCTCGTATCGCTCTTCTTCTTTTCCGCAGCTTAGTGAGCTAGCGCTTCTCGCAAAGAGTAAGTCTTCTTTTGTTTACCTATGCTTCCATTTGAACCCCATTCATAGCCTCTATAGCTTGCCCAGTGTCATGTGCGCGTTATACTCGTATGAACAAGTTTGAACAAGTCATTTCGCGCTTCGGGTCATCTACGTGCAAAATTGGAAGGCGGCATCCATTGCGAGGTTTGGGAAGATCCTGCACGCCCTCCTTGGCTAATGCTAGCTATCTTTCGAAGAATATAACATTTTTCATCATCGCAGGGAAAACGCGTGTTTTCTTTACGCTGCGTTTCCCGTACATTTTTATCCACTGCAGGCTGCACATTCTTGGCCTGTTATTGATTAAGAAAGTAGATGTGAAGAACATTGTTTGCAACATGCCACAACATGTTGACAGAACATTTTAGCCACGCCAACATGTTGTGACATGTTCTACCGTCTTCTTGTCCATTAGTCGCCTTGCATGACTCACCCCTCCTTCCAATACCAATATGTTTTTGATGTAAGAGATACATGCAGCTCAGTGGTGCTGTTGACGAAAAATGGCTCACAAACAGACAAAAAAATTAAGGAGTCTCTAGAATCTTGTCAGGCAAGCATCTAATCAGTTCGTGTTTTTTTTCATTCGTCTCCGTACTTCCACTACCTCAGTTCTTTGTTTCTTTCTTATGGGAAAAGGCTATGAGATGTTTGTCGCAAAAAGCTTATCTTCTAACCATGTTAAAGCCTCTTTCTGCTTGGTAAACGGCAAGTCCTACTGTGGCCGTATTCATCAACGAACCCAGTGTTTTGATGCATATCGATTCTACTCCAGGGTAGAATCGATATTCATCAAAAGCACTAAGCAAGTGGGTTCCGGAACCCACTAAGTTCGTTGATGAATACGGCCACTGGATCGCTGTACTTCTGTAAGGAGCACCGAGGAGCAGGAGCAGGAGCATCAAGGGCACACAAGAATGAACATTTTTTGTTAATGATGGATTTTTATAGGTTCTATTTTTTGCATGTAAGTGAGACTAAAATTTCGAGTTTATCTTGATCGAGAGGGGCGCACTTGGGCATGCCAGCCAAAACAAGAAATCCAAAACTTTGCATGCAGACAATCCGGTAAAAAGGGAAGATTTCCGCATCTGCAGGACCTGCCCGAAAGTCTGGTTACATTTGATAAGTGAGTGATTGGTGGTCTTTTTAAAAATTCTAAAATAGATCTTCCAGATTTCGTTCTTGATGGTGTTGGCCTCTACGCAGAAGAACTGCTTCTGAGTGCTACCGAATACGCGCGGCAAAGAAGTAGGTATAGATAGAAGTGTTTCTACCCCTTGATATCTCATTGATTTAGATTTTGGCTGGGCCTAGGGAACGATGATGAGGCTAGGACGAAGACGTTTGACAAGTTGTCGGAGGCGAGGATGAAGCTTAATGGATTAATACGAGTGCAATGCAATCATGCACATTTATATGAGTATAGAGTCTACTATTAGATCAACTTTTAAGCATTAGCCTAAGGCGCAGTATGGATGATAGTTACCCGAAACATAATGGGAGGCTCTACTAATATAAGATATCTCTCAACCAAAAAGAAAAGAACGTTTCGACTTTTAAACTCAAACGTAGCTGCAGTACCCGAACACTCGCCAAAAGGCTGTCTTAATACTTCTACCAAATTGCAGGACTTAATTAGAAGAAATTGGGGCACACGAATGTAACTAATTCGTGAACTTAAAAAACATCAAACCAGAATGAAATTAGAACAGTCGCGATGTGAAAATTGCTTGCTGAAACCTTGTCGACACCTCACATTTATATCCTCGTCATCCGGCTATAAGAAGAGCTTTGTGGGTTTTTTTCAAAGATAGTCTTCTTGAATCTATTGAATTTGAAGTTTAGAGGAGATGTGCACGCCTACCATTTTGATGCTGATAAGGAGATGCTGTCGCCACCCTCGATAATATTCATATATGATTTTTCAAATTAGTGTTAGATTGTTATTTTTTCCAGAAAAAGCGTTTTTCCCCTACTACCATGCAAGATTCTTTGGCGCACGAGCAGGCTAATGAGTCGGAGCATGAGCAAGACGAAGAGATCGAAAATATGAAGTCACTTTGAATTATGGATTCAATCTCACACATTGATTTCGACATTCCTGTTTTTTTCTGTTGACTAAGTTATAGTGATTTCAATGTTCTTTTTCTGTCACGAATGCTAATAAAGATGTTTCTGAACTCTGTGTCGAGCACAGCACCTTTGTAAGATGTGTGTAGTACAAATTTTTGAAGGAGAACCATTTTTAGAAAAAGCCCAGCCGGAAGCTGATCGGATCGCTGCTATATCGCGTCTCCCGCAGGAGACTGAAGTCTAGAGCGGGAGTCCCGCCGGTGACCGAATCGCAACATTATCGGGACTCCCGAAGGAGCTCCCGGTTTTTTTCAGTAGAAAACATGTCGGGACAAAACCGCGTGTCGCGCCGCATTAGCCCGAACGAAAACCGGGAGTCCCGGTTTTCTCGCGAACCATTTTACTTGTGTCCCGCAGTCATTCCGGCGGTACACAACTTTTTCACCGGCGGGACTCAACTGCGAATGTCTGAGTTGGATTCGCTAGTTCTTGCAAATGTTAAGCGTACATGCCGAGAGTCTGCGCTGTGCAAAAAATCGGCTCGAGACCTTTGCTGCAGCTCGCTCCAGGAACTTCGTGATTGATAGAGATTCAGACACACGCGTAAACAGCCTTAGCCTGTTATTATATTTTCAGTATTCATGGAACAGGGACTGAAATTGACTATCAAGTGCATTGTTTTTTTGCATTATAAGTCGTGCTTTGTAAAAAAAGCATTCACGTGAATCTCAAGCGTTAGCAGAATCAAATTTGTTGTTCACTGTTGTTCTTTGCTTCCAAATACCAACCATAAGATGTGGTAGCTAGTTTACGAAGTAAAAAGTGCTGGCATGTTATTCATGTGTTATTTCGTCAGCAAATTTTGTAGATATTCTTACAATTTTTGTCGTATTTTTCCCCTCTGCTTCCAAAAGCATTTCTGAAACTACTATTCGATTTGAGATGCATCAAGATGCGGCATGAACATTTTATGACGTAAAATCCAATCTGAGCTTATTCACTTCCGTAAGATGCGCCTTTCTGAGGCTATCTGTATTGTTCCAAAGTCAAGAGAGAATTTTCAAATGATTTAGCTCACAAGAAGACGAGGTCGATTTCACAAAAACTTTTTAAGATTCTCAAAACATATTTTGAGCCTTCAATTCGGCTCTGAGAATTGCATTCCACTATTTGCATGAAATACACAGAACAACTGTACAATGTCTCAGATTCCACTAGCAAACTGTGAAATTTCATCTCTAAAGAGCGTTGGTCCACTAAAACATTAGCATGGGAAAATAAGTGCTCTCATGAAAAAAGCAGGGGTAAGGATGAGAGAAGACAGAGAGAAAACAAACTTTGCACTTGCAAAACCGGAATTGCTATTTTCCGCGAAGTTGGCTCCAGACTAATTGCTAGTCCTTTGCGCTTCATCTCGAACTCTTTTGAAGCTTTTATTCTTTAGTCATTATTGTGAAAAATTATCTTATGATATTCGTCAATATTTTTTGTGCCCCAAAAGTTTGCTAAAGACAAAGGTTTTCGCTACTCTTTACCTATATTAATCAACCTTTTATATTCGATGACGATTGTCGCTATGCAAACCTGAACGTTATAAAACATCATAATTGTGCACTTTTTCTGTAACATCTTCAAAGAGAATTGAATCAGTCCTTTTCGGTCTCCCACTTCTTTCTCGAGTTTCTCGAGTCAAAAAGTGTGATGAATGGCTCTGCATTCCCACTCCAGAATTCATATAAACTACATTTCTCTGTTGTTTTCTACACTAGGCAAACGGCGTCAGATCAACTGGATTATGTATCTTGATCATCAAGCCTTCAATCTGAATTTTACTAATCAATTCATGTACTCATTTAGCTTCTCCTGTTAGATGGTAATACAAAGCGATACTTCCAATATCTGCTAAGAATTTCGTTGAGCCGTGCTAATATGTACTAGCCTACTTTTCAAATAATCACTTGGCATATTGAGGTACCGCAGGCATATTATTTCAGAAGTTATTTTCGTAATCCATTACACACGAATTTTTTTTTGAATTGTTTTTTAGATGCTTGATTTCTCTCACTTTTTTTGTTCTTCTATCTATAAAGTAGGATCTCCTGAATTTCAATCTGAATGCTCTATCGAGCACTGCTTTAGTTGAAGGGCGGCGCGTGTTAATTATCAAAATGCTTCTATACAAAAATAAAATATCTGCATTTGGCGTCCGACTTTTTTTCTAATGCTGTGCATGCGTGAGTCCAACTGTGTGAATGTCTCTGAATGTCTCTAGTATACGTGCAGTCAAATACAAATATTTAGTATGTAGCAGCTTCCAAGAACTGCTGACTTAAGAAGCTGTGAAAATCTGCCAAATAAAAAGAGAATATTTTGACTCCCAACTTTACTGCCATAATAGCTGTTACAAAGGAATTTCTGCGCTAGTTCCACTGTGATAATTACTGAAAATGCTGTTGTCTTTACCAATGATACCAAAACCACAAATATCATTTGAATGAAGGAAGAAAATGCCTTTGATAGGTTAACGCGAACTTTTCTTTGTTTTTCCGCAACATAGATAGAAATCGCTTTCATCCAGTTGTGTAATTGGCATGGGTCTAAATTCTATCGATTAAGTCAGTTGCAAGACGGACAAGTGCCTCCTTTCGATTATAATGTGTCAAATGCTTTCAATATTTTTGCAAAAACGTCCGCAATGTAAGCAAAAACGATGGTAAACAATATGCGTCTCACTCAAAGTCTGTGTTCTACGGTAATTAAGCACGCATGCAAATTCGGAAAAATGACTGTGTTTTTCAGTTCGGAAACAATGGATTTTGCCTGCCTACTAAATTACCTGAATGGACTTTTCTTTCGATTCTAGGCAGCCAACTAGCCAGACAAAAGCTCATTCATATTGATGTCAGGTTTTTTTTGTTTGCTACATGGAAACAGTAACTTCAAGCTTTTGCAAGGTTCGGCCAAAAGAGCTTTTCGATCTAACATTTGAAGTGACACTTAATCACCCAAACATACAGAACTATGTTATGCAGAAAGTGCTGAGTGCTTTGAATTCTTGATTCCATTCTTGATTCCATCTGCCCTAATGAATCTGTGCGGCAGATGATCGAGTGATCGCAGAGATTTTCTTCTTGGAGATAGTTCATGACAAAATCAAGAATTCAAAGCACTCAATACTTTTCATGACTCTTTCGAAGCAGCGAGGAGGTCATAGGGCTAAAGGAAGAAGCAGCATTTGCCACTGTAGCCTGGCAAGATGAGGTAGGAAGTTCTGGCCTATCTACTGCTGAAGAATGAAAAAAGTGATACTCGAATCTCTTATTTAAAAAATGAAATTATTTTATCCATACACCATCTAGCAATAAACTGAAACCTTTCATAGCTACAAACTTCCGAAGTGCTTTTTTCGAAGTCTATAACGCTTTTCCTTACCACGAGTTTGCAACGTTTGAAGAGCTTTCTTCAAGCTCACCTTTTACCAGGGATGCGAGAGACGATTTATTTTTATTTTCTATAATTATGCTTGAATTCTGTACACCAGGCCTTTGAACGCAGATGTGAGCCTCCTCGTACACACTGCTTAAAGATCTAACTACTAATAAGTGTAATTTACGGACTTCAGTTTCAACCTCAGGATCACTCAACGCGTCTCGTACACGGATAGAAACATGGATGATGGGAAGTACACCGGCATACCTTTGCTCGGGTTTTCCGATGAATCGCTCAAAAGTAATTTTTAATGATTTCGGTTTTTCTTTGTCATGAGGCAACGGTTGTTTCTAGAAAGCGCAGGGCTTTAACATGGCACGAAAAGATTGAATTTATATCGCATACTATCGATATGGACGTACATTTTTTCAATATTCCAATCCGCTTAGAATTCACGAAATATTTTAGAGAATTACCACGAATTCTTTCAATATTTTGTATTCTATAGCGCAAGGGATCACTGAACAAATACAGAGCACAGCACTCATCTAGTAAGGCATAACGTTTACTTAACATGATTAGACTGCTGCTTACAGTGTTAGTGAGACCCTTCAAGAATACTCGATGAATGTATGATTTTTCTAAACGTAAACTATAATTATGTTTTTGATCAATGCCCCTGCAGCATCTAAGTATTCCGAGCAAATCAATATCGACGTCACCGAGAAGGAAGACCCGCTGTATGCAAATTATAAGTCTATATTCCATCAGGTACTTGAACTAATTTATCTCGCTGTGAATATGCTAATTTTTTTTAGAACGCGCGAGATGGGGACGTGAAAGCGATCGAGGAGTTGTTGAACAAGTGTCCCAAGCTTGTCGGCGCATACGACTGTGATAAAGTGAGTGATTTGCAAGAAAATCGCACTTATTATGCAGTAAGCTCGCAAGAATACTCGAAAACTTGTTTTGAAGCGTTTATACTGGCTTTTGTTATATTGGAAAGAAAAGCTTTTTTGTTTCTCGTTTCGTCGTCCGAGTAGGACAAATCCCAGAAACATGTATGGTATACCATTCGATAGAGAAAAGCAAGCTCTACAAAATGGCCCCACAGCTTTTGCATCAAGTTATATCTAAGTGAAGTTCGAAGATAGAATCTAAAAACTCTCAAATGACCGAAAAAACAAAAAAATCGTATCTCCGTCCAAAGTTCTGCGGGCCTCAACTTGCTCACGATCATACATCCCTCAAAATTCATTTGCGCGGTTGCTGCTATTTTTCTAGCTAAACATCGAAAAATTGAAAATTTTCGCGCTTCTGCTAAAGTGATACTGAGCTTTCCCCGCGGAAGCAATTCTATACTACTCAGCTTAAAGAGTACAACCGTAAATATTTTGATTTCAGAGTTAGTTCTCAGAAATATCGAAATTAGTTTTCTCATCTGGTCTGTTAACTGAATTCGATATTTCTCGAGAGGTAACATATGTAAAAGTCCGAAAATCTTTGGTTGAATCTCCCAAGCCATTAGTATAGAGATACTTATGCGGGAACAGCCCAGCATCACTTGGCGTAAGCAGAAATTTTTGACTTTTGAGGGTCGAAAGGTTTTCCTAAAAAGCGAAATTCTTTTCTTTCCAACCCAATAATTTTATATGTGGTCTCTTCTTCTCAGATTGGTAGTTTTCAGTTTCATACTTTTGCATTAGAGAAACTACTATTGGGTAGAGCAACACAAGCTGTAAAAGATAGCTGAATCATCGCACAAGGTTTAGTCTACGTGGCTTTTCAGATCAATCTAGAATTAAAATACCTGAAAAATTGGATTTCTGTCCAGATTAAACTTGCGAAGATCCAACTCGCTCTATAAACTCCCCATATTCGACGTTACTTACAATACCGCTCACAAAATATGCAAAATTTCCGTGAATATGGCAAAATTCCGAAAATTCCGCGAGATTCCTGGAATTTCGCGAAACTTCGCGAACTTTCCGAAAATTCGCGAAATTCCGGAAAGTTCGCGGAATTTTCGGAATTTTGCGATATTTACGGAAATTTTGCACATTCTGTGAGCGGTATTGTACTCGACGTGCTAACAACATTTCTTACATTGTTTTGCTGCTGGTGACACATTGTATGACAGAATATCTGCCAACACGAGTTTCAAATTTGAAAGACAATTCATGAGAAGGCGATTTTGTAACATCATAATCTGACGAACAATTCAAATAAAGATCTGTGCTAAGCATAGTCCGATAGAGTTGTTCGCAAAGTTTTGAACTCACAAAAATTTGCGGACAATTTCCGCAACAGGTAGGCGAAAAGTGCAGGCGAAGTTGCGATCTTGATTGGTTTAGTTACTTCTATCTCACTTTAGCTTTACTGTAAGACTCTCTAGTGCAAAATAAATAGGATTTTCGTAAAGATCGGGACCAAAAACCACTATGAGTGAAGTTTGCGGTCAATCCGAGAACCTCAATATTTTAACCAAATCTTGCGCCGAGGCCAAGAGTGAGGAGCGAGCGCGCTATATCAGTGTGTATTGCTTCTAAGAAGCTGGAAAAAATATGGGGTGTATAGGTATGAGAGAGGTGTCTAACATGATTTTTGGGGGAATTACGGAGCAACTTTGGGAGAGCCGATTTCACAGCCTGAGCATGCATGTTGGCGGGCTAATAACTCTGCGAATATTACAGATATGAGGCTGGAGTTTGTTTTATTGGACAGATCTCTAGAAATATGATTTTTAGAGAGAAGGTCGTAGAATAACAAGTTTCCAATAAAAGTGCCTAATTGACAGCTGAACTTGGGAAATCTGTCAATAAAGGCGAGTTTGCGAACTTATATCTCTGCGAGTTGTAGGGTTGGGGTAATCACATGTGGTCATTGATATGTACTTTTGATAGCTCTATTTTTCTAGGGGTAGATCGTGGTTGTAGCTCCACCATAGGAGGCGCTATATAAAGGCGATGATGCATATTTTGAATTTTATCTCCGTGAAGAGTAGAGATAACAGGCTGGGATAGCCATTCTTCAGTTTGAATTCGAGGGGGACACCACATATAACTCGGAGAAATTGCAGGGTCTCCGCTTGTGGGAGCCCATCTATGAACCTTCCCGGACTTTTTTTTTAGTTCAGGGTCTCGCAATTTCTCCTCTTTCTCCCCCCCTCATTTTTTCCCCTCTCTTTATTTCTGCAGCGCGTGTGATAGTTACCCGCGGCCATCTGGACCTGGTTAGGGGCTGAAAGCGGCTAGAAAGGGGGTAAATCGGGCTAGAAAAACGCGATTTTCGCTTATTTTTTCCTTAGTTTTCCTTAATTTTTCTTACTTTCTTCAATTTCGATCGTGATGTGGGGTGTAAAGTGGGCGGAGCTTGCTTGGAGGAGTTTCAGCTGTATAAAAGCACTGGAAATGAGCTTATTATGGAGTTTTTCGAAATTTTCGCTTAGTTTTTCGATAATTTTACCGATTTCCGAAATTTCGAAACCGCCAGAACATCGATTTTATCGATTTTTGTCAATTTTCGAGATTTCGCAAAGTTCAAAATATCGATTTTATCGATTTTTGTCAATTTGCGAGATTTCACAACCATCAGAATATCGATTTTATCGATTTTTGTCGATTTTCGGGATTTCACAGCCCTCAGAATACCGATTCTATCAATTTTGGGGATTCGGTGGCTCACTAACCTCCAAAATATCGATTTTTCGCTTTTCAACTGTGAACTGTAAGCCCCGGCCACTTATGATATCACTATACAATACCGCTCACAAAATATGCAAAATTTCCGTGAATATGGCAAAATTCCGAAAATTCCGCGAAATTCCTGGAATTTCGCGAAACTTCGCGAACTTTCCGAAATTTCGCGAAATTCCGGAAAGTTCGCGGAATTTTCGGAATTTCGCGACATTTACGGAAATTTTGCACATTCTGTGAGCGGTATTGAACTTATTTGCGTACCATCTTGGCTAAAAATTAGAAAGAATAGAGTTAATATGCTTTTCAAAGCAATGCTGAGCTGTTCCCACTTAATGAATTCTATACTTCAAATACTAGCCATAGGTCAAAGTCAAAGGTCCGAAGAAAAAGACTTGATCTTGCGTATGTTCAGAATATCTAATTTCGACTTCAGACTCCACCTGGATCCAAACATTGTTATGTTGGGAAGTTATCCGTAAAGCGTCCATCGCTCTAATTAGCCTAATCTCTGACTGAGAAATGAAATTGGCAACATATGCAACCTCGAGTCATTTGTAACTTAGTATGTGAGATTGCACACTAAGCCCTATTAGCGACGGCAACATCACTAGTAACTTTCCAGTGCAACATTTTCTAGTCTAACAAAGTGTAGAAATGTGTTCTATCAACTAAAATATAACCAACAAGAACAAAACAGACCAGGAAACAAGGAGAATTTACTGGAAATGAGCAGCTTTTAGTTTTGTAGTTAACGTGCATAGTGTGCACTACGCATATTAAGTTAGGAATGACTCGACGATATCTTGAAACCGAAAATTATGCGACGATTAAGATTGTGTTAGCACGCTTGCACGATGCTAGTGGTGGAAATTGTTCATCGAAAACAAATGTAGTGCCATTGTAATGGTTGTGGACTATTCAAAGATTTCATCATAGGTTTGTGATGACTTTTGATTCACGATGACACGTTTCTGTCATTCCCATTTTCGACTCGGAATGTAGTGTAAGGCTTTTGAGTAAGAATAAGGTCACTATTCCATATAGCCTCCAATTTTGAAACCTGGGCTTTGTCTTTAAATGGTAGATACAATGATTTTCTTATGCCGTACAGGTTTTTATGATGACACACTTTATTTGCCTTACGTTTCGGCAACATGCCGTCGTCGGCCTAAAAGTAGTCAGTCACTATGATCTACGTTCTCTCCGACAAACACCGTCTTCCACTTGCGTATTCGATTTGTCCTTCGTAGAAGTAGAAAGCTTGGAAAAAGAGGTTTACTCACTTGTGTGCCACCAGTTTAGCAGTTGACTGCTGGGAACCTCGATTGACTGCGAGTCGAAAATGAGCGGGTTTATACTACGAGATTGCTTATGTAGGGGCAGACAATCTATAGATTACAGAAAGGCTGATACGGCATTAGATCATTTGTGGATAACTTTTCATTCTTGCTATTGAGTTTTGGGTCGCGGGCAAGAATGAAGGATGCCTCTAATGCTTTTCGTGCTGATATTTGATGCTCATAGGCTATGATTTTGCACTTCATATCATAATCCACACCGTCATGCTCTTCTTTCCGATGTTTTCCTAACGAACTCATTAAACTTTGCCGTTTTTTGCTAGCTAAGTGTTCGCTCAGGCTGCGCGTCAGGAGGTACGCCGCGCGCGGCGGCCGCTTCGCCGCTCCCGATCTTGGGACCAATAGAGCTCCCCATATCAGAGACTCCCTGCGGCAAAAACACGGGGTGGGGGTGGAGGCAGATACATGACTCAATGCCATAAGTAACATTGCGCTTGGAGTGCTGCTGTTGTATTGGTTGAGTACGTTGCGGCGTCGCTTCGCGAAAAATTCGCGCCGATCGTACCTCCTGACGGTCGCCCGTTCGCTTACACGTACACCCAGCGGGCGACCAGTCTCACCGATATAGATGGCCGAGCATTTAAACATTCTAATTGGTAAACGACACCAGATTTCGCATAATCTCCGGAATTTCCATGTAGGCATACTACGCAGTCTCGCGAGATACAAGTTATCATGAAGCCTGTTGCGGGCTAGCTGTTTTTTGATGTTATCGCCCGGAATGTTGACCAGAACAACATCTCATCGAGCTGCGCTTCTTTGAAGCTTTGTTTTATAGCGATGGTAACCCTCTCAGAGATAAATGGCAAGCAGAGAGGTATTTTATGTAAGCTCTGCTTCCTGGCTTTTGCTGTTATTCTTCTTGTTCGTCTAGGTCGTGCGCCATAGCCATTCGATATTATGTTCGGTTGCCAATTTCATTGATTCTAGTCTTTCGCTTTTACGCTGCAGATGTTCGCTGCCGTTTTGAACATATTTCGAATGACGGCACGTTTAACAGCGGCCGGATGTGCTGACGGCGCGTGTAACATGATATTTTTACTACTCCCCTTTCGGTACCACTACTTCTCAGTGCACCATTTACCAGCATCAGCTGCGTGTTCAAAAAGGCCAGCCAACCGTTTCATGGTTTCTCCCTCGTTAGACTGATGTACTGCGATTGTTCTTTGAGTATTCTGAAGCATTCGTCCATCTCGGACTGCGTTGATGTGACAATACAGCAGTTGTCGATGTATCTACAGTACATCAGCTGGCCTCAAGATAGCACTGGTTGTTCTATTTTGCTCATAAAGCATATTGCCAGTATGGGTGCTAACCTTTGGTCCATCGCGAGTCCCCTGATCTGCGTGTAATATTTTCCAGACCACTCAAAAATATTGCAACACAGACATTCCTTTACGAGTGTCATAACGCGTGCTCTGCTAAGGCCGTGCATCGACATATTTTCACTATACGATTACAGCAATTCAGCTAACGCTTGCAAAGCACGTTCATTGGATACATTAGTGTACAATGAATTAACGTCAAGCAACTCGACCGCGCAACTTTTATTGAAATTTGTCTTACGCAAAGCCTTATCAAGCAGTTGGCTGATGATCTTATGAAGGAACCAAAATACACGGTCGGTTGGACCGTTGATGCAGCTTATGATGGGTCGTATCTTATACAACTCAGCTGACGCAGATTGCATTTGAGAAGGGGAGAGTTTGTATGTCTTAACTATGCTATAGTACACAGGAACATGCGGGCGTCTCTAGTTTGAGTCTGCTTATAAATCTGTCATGTAATGCTGCTTCTCGGCCTATAACTGTCCATATAAGCAAACGCTTACATTGTGAAACATGTTCCTTCTCGCTTGTTGGCTGATAGAGATCTTATCTGGATGCAATGCGGTCATTTCCCGATCTAGAGTTTGTGGCAAAATGACGAAGTCTTTTCCTTTGTCGCTGATCGACAAACGGAGGTAGCTTTCGTGGTTAGCTCTTTTATTTCTCTGAACCCTTGTTGCTGCGCGCGCGTCAGATTGCAGTTTCTCATATTTCTGTTTGCATTAAGGATATTCAGGATTTTCAAAGATAGTATGCGAGATTTCGTGTCTGCAACTGCGCAAGGTTCGGGCTCTTTGTAGAAGGATGACGGAGATGGTACCGTTGGTAATGTCCTTCACTTAGAGCATCAAGGGGTTGGGAGTGACCGTCATGTCTTAGTTTGATTCGAAGTTGTCTCTCAGCCTCTGTAATGAGCTCAGTACGTTACGGTAGATTTTGGCATTGACATTTTGTGCGGGTGCAAAAAGTATAAACTTTTTCGAAAAGAAGAGCATGACGGTGTGGATTATGATATGAAGTGCAAAATCATAGCCTATGAGCATCAAATATCAGCACGAAAAGCATTAAAGGCATCCTTCATTCTTGCCCGCGACCCAAAACTCAATAGCAAGAATGAAAAGTTATCCACAAATGATCTAATGCCGTATCAGCCTTTCTGTAATCTATAGATTGTCTGCTTCTACATAAGCAATCTCGTAGTATAAACCCGCTCATTTTCGACTCGCAGTCAATCGAGGTTCCCAGCAGTCAACTGCTACACTGGTGGCACACAAGTGAGTAAACCTCTTTTTCCAAGCTTTCTACTTCTACGAAGGACAAATCGAATACGCAAGTGGAAGACGGTGTTTGTCGGAGAGAACGTAGATCATAGTGACTGACTTCTTTTAGGCCGACGACGGCGTGTTGCCGAAACGTAAGGCAAATAAAGTGTGTCATCATAAAAACCTGTACGGCATAAGAACATCAATGTATCTACCATTCAAATAAGATCACTTTGGCTAATTTGAAAAAAAATTATGCCTCTCTTAATGATTTTTTGTGTAATGAAACTGTTTTATTCAAAACACTATCCGTTTTGGACTGAGAACTATACCGGCATTCGGCTTCTTTGGTGCCCATCAGGTGCTTTTCAAGGAAGCAATAAAATTATAGCGAAAAACTTCAGCAAAAACTTATACTCAAATTTCAGATTGAACAGAAAAGACGCGGTGTAAAAGAATAAACATTACTGAATTTGACAGAAAAATGTGATATCCAAAACGTAAGAGTGTAGGCACTGATGGCAACCTCATATTCGGATGAGTCATTGAATGTTCTGCGCCGTGCAAAACGCACTAGCAGTCCAAGTTTTGCGCAATTCGTGTAGAGAGAAATGAAAAGGTACTAGTACTTACGGGTTTATGAACGGTCAGGTGAAGGCACCGTCCACCCTAAGTTAGCGGTCTTGAGCTTTTGGCAGCTTACGATAGTGGGACCCCCTATTGAGTGCGGCGCAAAATGCCGCTTCAGAAGCGAGAAAATCGCTTCGAAATAGCAAAGAGGCATGAGGACCTCAAGTTGGCACCGCCCCTCCAATGATACCCACCCATCGTACGTGTCCATCCAATCAGCGTTTCGAAGAACTAGCCTGCATTTCCCCGGAACGAGGATTGTCGGGATTTCACGGATTCTCAACTTTATATTTGGAGTCAAGTACATGAAAAGGCCCCGAAAAGACCATGGAAGTCGAGAATCTAGGTGAAGGGTGCCTTTAATGTGCCTGCCTCTGCCCCAGCTAGTTACTCCGTCTCTCTTACGATTTAGCAAAGTTTCCAAACATTTCGATTTCGAAGCAAGCGAGTGCCCACTTCCGAGCAATGACAGAGACGACATTTACGAAGAAAAGGATTCAAAAAGCTTCAATTTTTTCAATCGCTAATTCCTTATTTTCCCTTCTTCCCTATTTTCCAGTTCACCGTAGATTTTGCACTTGTGAGTGAAAATCCTATTTGTGCTAACATGTAACTTTCTTGAATTTTATGTAAAATTCAAGATCTCCCCTGAATCTCTTCCTTGGGAGAGTGCTTCTGCTAACTTATCCATTTCAGAGCGCCTGCTCCTCTAATGACAACCTAGCTTTCTTTCGGTAGCGACCACCAATCAGAAGCCCACAGACTGCAAAGGCTAGCCTTGCAGAAGGGCCGTCTTCCACTTTTCCATAGGTCTTCGAAAGTTGTTCCTTCTAGTCGTCCTTTATTGCTTAGGACTTGTGTCCAATCGTTATCAACGCCTGCAACCAAGTCAGTACTTTATTATTCCGAGAAAATTTT